TTCACTCCAGGCGCTATTTCTCAAGGCCCTAGAAGCACGTACACTGCCGCCTCACTGAGCAGAGCACTTAAGTCCTGATTGCCATGCTTGCAGATATCAGGCCTTCCCTTGATGACACCTCTCCTTGATTAAACCCATGTTATCTGAGCAAACTGTGGACGCCTATCTCTGGTCGCATGCGGGATCTCAAGTGGATTTCTAGTGGATTTTTAGCATAATGCCGAATTTCCATAATGGTTTGCTTATCCGTCTGCCCACCGCCCTGACTACCAGTCCCCCAAAGTTGTACTTGTTTATTCGAATGAACATCACTCACTGACAACGTCTTCGCTATATTGCCGAAAACCCCTGCCCCCCCCTTTTTTCTCATCGCGATCTCTTTTCCTCTAATAAGCGGTAGATCCTTGATCCAGGCGTCTGCTCCTTACTGGTCTTGCTCTATTCTAATTTCCACCAAGTTTGCTTAGGCAGTAGGCAAAGTTATCGCTAACTCTACCTTCCTCCAATCTCCTGTTCATTAGATTTTTTCCCCAATGATATCAATGGGCTCCCTAATCTTCCGCTTCCTTGTGTTGTCACCGTATGAGGCTTTTCTTTCTGTTGCCTTCCAATTGATCTCGTGTTCAGTCTGTGCGATGTGTTCCGCAAGTTCTGATCTTTTGGTATACATTTTCCTAAAGAGCCTTTGATGTTCCCTGATTCTTGTGCTAATTTTTTTCCCTCTTTCGCCAATATATTTCTGTTCGCAGGCGCTACATGATATACAGTAAACTCCTGAACAATCCAATTTATCTACCCTTTCATGTTGCGTCAGCACACATTTTGACAAGTAGATGTTAAGTTTAATACTTTCTTCCTATCCTCGTGCTGATCAGTAGGTGTTGTCACCACGGAAGCCAATTTAACTAGGCGTACTGGCGTTAACTTAGGCTGTCCTATAATCCCAAACTTACGCAATTTACCGTCATGCCGTTTTGTTATTAAGTCAGAAATCCTACGTGATTTCCTGTCAGTCATGCTCTGGAGTTTTTGAAAATCTTCCGGAAACATAATCCGGACCAAATCACGCCGGGGTTTGATTTAATATCTATAAATTTAAACAACTTAGAGGTTGTTTGACCTTGTTTTCGCTACTTAGTCATATTTGTAGTAAGACTTAGAGGAACGCACCTAGTCCGGAGTCCATTTTCTGCATGATCATATCCAAGGTCGAACCGTGGACGTGGTACATTAACAACGTTTCGCCGGCATCGTAGTCGGCATCGTCAGTGAGTATCGCCATTCGTAGCACCATACAACAACTCGTCAAAGAGACAACTAAAGCCGATCCTTTGACCAAAAGTGTGCTAAACAATTGTGGTATCTCCCCTTCTGCCCTGGGTTATTTGCGTTTCTTGTATCATCCTATCATGACTTCACTATTACAATTTTTACCGTGTTTATTTAGATATAGTGTGGTGTGCTCCTTTAAGCGACATGAAACCTTCACACTCCAACTGTCGTTCTCACCCCCCTTCCTCCTGGTGAAGGGAATGTTTATTAGAGTCTGCTTTATTATTATGCAGTCCTCTTCCCTAGTCTTATTCCAGTATCTCTCTTGCTCCGTAAAATCTGTCTGTTT